TCAACCAGCTGTGTCTCGCATGAATAATCTTTCCTAAAACCACCTTGCGCCGTAGTGAGATAGCTGTTCTTGGATACGTGATGGAAGATATTGCTGCATATTACATGTTTCATAAGCTTAGAGCAAGTACAGAGAAGAGAAATGGGTCTAGAGTTTTGAATAACATTTTTCGGACCATTTTTGTGTATTGGTACGATATTTGCTTTTTTTCTATTCAGCAGGAAGACGTCCATCTGAGAGGCGTTTTATAAACGAGACTTCCAAATATGATGAAATGATTCCGGAACATTTAGTGAGAACGCGGTTGGGTATGCGATCGGGACCGCCTGCTTTCGCAGTTTTTAGTTCATTAATCATTTTCAAGATTCCGCCATAAAAAATATCAATTTCGTCCATGCTTTTTACCAGCATATCAGGAGAGGGCGTGTATTCATTAGGAACTACGGTCGAAAATACAGATTGGAAGTACCCGTTAAAAAGTTTCGCTTTTTCTTCCTCTTCTGCGACTAGTTGTCCGGAGTTAACAATTGGGAGAATCCCGAGTGCTACTTTATTTTTGGATTTTACATATTTCCAGAGCTCTTTCGGGTTTTTTCTCAGTTTATCATTTAAAGACTCTTAAAATCTGAGTTTACATTCACGCGATTTATATTTGAATTCATTACATAAGACCGTTAGCTGTGAAAGAGAGGCAGAGTCTTTTTGCTTACGATATTTCAAATATGCTCGCCTTTTCCTTTTGGTCAAGCGTCATAGCTCGGTATTCATCCACGGTTAGCCTTTACGTCGACTGGAACTCAACACCTTGGTAGGGACTAATACTTCGACTAAATAATTAACTTTATTCCTAAAAAGATTCCGAAGAGTTTCAACATCAAGGTGATCGAAGAGCTCTCTAAACTCAGAGAAATAATTACAGAGATCATTTGAGATGCCCTCATAATTACCGAGGTCATACAGAAAAACTTTTCTGGGTGGGTTCGACCCTTTATTTTCGCACCTGCTGTTTATAACTCCTACTAATATTTCGTGATCGCTAATCCCAGGAATCCTAGAGAGAGAGGATATGACACTTTTTTTATTACTAAAAAGCAAGTCCAACGTGCTGGCCCTCGTTTTACCCAGCCTTGTCGGGAATGACACATATGTTGATATAGCTCAAAACTAGAAACAAAATCGAGAAAAGTTCTGTACGCGGAAGAAGTATTTAGCGTCATGGGTTGACCGTCTGCCCACTCCACATCAGGAAAGTTAAAATCACCACCGAGCACAAGGTCGCCATAATCAATGGATGACAATACATCAAAAAGAGGGAACATTGCATCTTCATCTGAAGCAGGAGGCCTATAATAGAAGCCTACAGTAATACATTTGCCTCTTTCTAGTAAAATCTTACACCCTACCGCCTTACAATTGAGACCATTAACCTTGATCTCAACACTTTGCAGGCTGTCATGAAGTAAAAGAAAGACGCCACCACCATATCTGTTTCAATCTCGGCGGTATGCAACATAGTCCGAGGGGAACACTTCAGTATCGCTAATGGAATCTTCCAGCCAGGACTCCGTACCAATAACAATACTGGACTTAGTCGGAGTAATGACGTCAGCCAAGTCTTCCACTTTGTTTTTCACCCTGCGGCAATTGACAATTATGACACTAAGCTCACATACAGTTCTCGGCTTGCACCCAGCTTTCGGCGGTGGTTGCTATGCATTTATTTCCTTTACACATCCCTCAAGTTTTTCATAGTAGAAATGCTGTCCATCGATTGTAAGTTTACCGAAACGCAACTTAAACGACTTTTGTTATGATTTAGCAAAATCGAACAGCTGCCGGCGTTCATATCTAACTTTATCTGAAAAATCTTCGCCGACTGAGAATTCACTATTTTTCATTTTGAAGCCTCGGGACAGAACATGTTGTTTGACCTTAAAATATTGAAAGTTTACGATTATAGGTCTTGATTTTTCTGGGTTAGGGTGGTGCAGCCTATGCGCACGTTCAGTGTTACTATCTGCCACGGTCACCCCGAGTTTATCTCTGCAGAACTCAAGTATTTTTGACTCCGATTGAGACCATGTTTCCTTAGGTTCGTCGGTGATACCATAGAAAAGCAGATTTTTGCTTATTGACCTATTTTCTAGGTCCTCTTGTTTGGAGCAGACCGCGGCAAGCTGGGATGATAGGTGTGCGCCGACCTCTTGCATTTCGTCTTTAAAGATGCTTAGCAAGGCAATATCTGTTTCCACTGTCTTGAACTTCTCGTTTAGGGCTTCTATCTTCTTGTCGAGTAAAACCTGGTTTTTGTTTATTTCAGCCAGTTGATTTTGAAGCGTTTCTTGACCCTTGTCCAATTTTGGTAGTAAATGGACGGCTTTCAACAATTTCTGAATTTGACTATCCGTGAGAGGTCCAGGATTTAGTTCAACATCTCCAGAGATTATAATCATCAATTCCACAAACGCGGCACCAAAAACACAGCTTTTCAAAGACAATGGGGAGCGATGCCGGCTAACGTTTCCGCGAGCAACGAACTTCGTAGTACACAGGACTAACCTCTAGGGATGCCGCGAACTTTTTTCGAATCGAAGTTTCGATGATCGAATCAAGCGGTTCGAAAGGTTCGAAAGATTTCGATTTTTCGAATTGTCTATATCGTAAAATTCGAAAGAGGTCGAATTTTCGAACTTGTTAAGCTGAGAAGTTCGACGCTTTTCGAACCGTCGAACTTATTACGCTATAAAATTCGATCTTTTTCGAACTTTCGAACTTATTGCGGTGCAAGGTTCGATGCTTGTCGAAGTTCCGAATTTGACTGACAAAAAAATTCGATGAATTTCGAACTTTCGAACTTATTTATCAAGAGAATTCGAAAAGTTTCGAACTTTCGAATTCTGAAAAGTCAGAATTTCGACGAACTTCGAACTTTTAGGGTAAAAGTTCGATGTTCGTCGAACTTCGAAAGACCGGCGGACGGTTTCATTTGATTTCAAGTAGTGCGGTACATTCGTAATTTTTTTTTCTCGAACTTTTACACGCGGTGCTGCGTTCTTTACGAAAGACAATGCCGTTTATTTCAAAGTTCTGGCATGCTTAGGTTTAAAGAAATAAATCCCCGAAGGGGGAGGAAGGACGACGGGTTTTTGACGATTATCGTTTGTGCCAGATTTGAAACACGCTGTAGCCGAAGGTATGTATGGTAGATATGTTATACTTTTTTAAGAATGATCTATGTATAGCCTAGGTAAGTGCCGTTTTAAGATGTGATTATTATTATTCAACGTGAGTTTCGAAGAAATCTCCAAACGTGTATCTGCATGCAATTATGACCTAGACTTGATATTTATTTTCGTCTAAGTTGTTTGAGGTATCGCATTTAAATTAACACCACAGACAGTACATATCATTGCCATCTGCAGAATACAAAATAATGTACTTATTGTTTTTTTCACGTTAAGGAATAATTTAACTCATGGGATAAGATTTCTAATAGTGTTCAAGTTCAGCACGTCATTAAAAGAAAACTTTTTTTTTTTTTTTTTTCGCTTCACGTTCCTGGGACGTGTTTCTTTTAGCCTGTACACATTTTGGTAAAAGAAACTTGTTTCGAAGTTCTGAACCTCTGAATATGCAAGAATAGAATACTTCCGACGAATTCGTGATAGTTTTTTTTTTCTTCTGCTTTTTATCCCCGCATTTATTATTTTTTTTTTGTTACCATTGAACTTCTGAACCACTAAGCATGTGACGAGTAGTGCCTTCTGACAACGAGTTTCTAACAATGACCATCTACGCAATCTTTTATGCAGTGAATAGCGACTGTTGCTATACATATGCATAAATAATTTCGGATTAAAATAAGCTCGACCACGCCCTCTTTCCCCGTATTGTTTTCTTTAACAGTCCGAAATACCTGCAAGGGGGAGAAGGAAGCTAAAGCCCCCCCCCCCCCCCCCCCCCCGCCACCCCCTTTCCCCCGTTTTTCCTCTTCCGACGCCACTTTTATGGTAGAATGCTCCTCGACCTCGAGTTGTGTCGGCTTTTGTGCTTTTTGCGAGGCGATTCCTCCGTCCCAGAAAATAAACCTCCAGGACAATTACAAACTTCACTTACTATATGCCAGCGTCACGCGGGCGGCGTTCGGTCGGATTACTACCAGCGTGAAAGGGGTGGCGAGGTGGTTTGCCAGGTCGCTTCAAGGTTCCTCTGAGCCTCAACCTCCTGCTCGCCCCTGGCCGTTTCGAACTCGATGCGTCTCGTAAAACAGTGTGTTCGTGTGATCACTACTGCGTGATGCAGGTTAAAGACCCCCCCCCCCCCCCCCCCCCCCCGGGGCTGGCGGTCACAATTCTGCACTGGCAAATATTCTAGCACGTCCGGGACACTCGTCGTCTCATTTAATTGCCTGACGAACTTCGCAGAATGTAGATATCACACCCTAACTTTTCTAAACTTGATGTTGTGAAAACCAGTGAGTCGTGAAAACGTTATTTGAAACTGAAACTGGTGGAAAAACTTGAAAATCGGATTTCGAACTTTGAAATCTTGGATTAAAAAAAAATTCAAAATCTTCAAAGTTTTTTTTTTTTTTTTTTTTTAATTTAGCGTTAAAAGAGAATCGAAACCTTCGAACTTTTCGAACTTTATGCAGAAAGAACTTCGAAATCTTCGATTTGTACGAACTTCATGTCTATAAAAATTCGAAGCGTTCGAAGTTTTCGAATTTTATTTCCAAAAAATTTCGAAATCTTCGAATTTATCGAACCTGAAGTAAAAAAATATTCGAAATATTCGAATTCGAAATTTTAGAAACCGTGAAAGCTTCGAACTTTTCGAATTCGAAACTCCGCTGTGGTCAAAAGTTGCGAATTTTTCGAATTCGAACCTCGGTCGGTATGAAAAGATCGAAATTTTTCGAAATCGAACCTCAGTTCGCTTCGCAAATATCGAAACCTTTCGAAATCGAACCAAAGGTGGTTCGCGACATCCCTACTAACCTCTAGCAGAAGAAGGCGTAAGCACGCTGCGTGCGTCATGCCGGCACCGAGCCTCGTCGAAGAAGCGACTGATGCTTCCTTTTGTAGGCGGTGATCGTACGATGTGCCGCTTCGCTGTTGCCAGACGAGCATCAGGCAGGAAAGCCGCCGGTAATGGACGCGCAGATGTAGAACCGCAGCCCTCTTCAAATCTGCACGTTTCCGATATCCGTGGATGATGTGTACGTCCGTCGGCCCATGCAGTGGCAAGGATCTGTAGCAGAAGAAGGCGCGCCGTGATGCGGCTTCCTCGTAAACAGCCGTACCAATAAATCGCTTCGCAGAAGAAGAAAAGAAAAAGAAAGGAGCCACCACTTTCGGAGCTGAGCTCGCTCATGTAGCTGGTTTTAGGAGTAGATGGCGTCGCTGACGCGTCTTTGTTTGCTCGCGTACTCGAGGAAATAACCAACACCGCCTAGAACGATCAAAACCGGTGCACTCTCATTTTAACGTCATCACGGGGAGATAGAGCGAAGACACGAGTTGGACACGAGTGATGCGCGAGCGTTTAGGTCCAATGAAAGCCTCGAAAGACTCTTGGCATCGGGTTCAACTGCTGAGTTTGCTGCATCCATATAGGGGCCTCGATTATCCTAGGCTGTGTTAAAGGAACCACCATTATCTGTAGCTAGTCTGGAACTCGTGTCAAGTTAGTCGGGAGACGAGTGCTGCGCCAGGGTTCGTCGGGCACTTGCCTTTTTTAGGTCCGCCTCAACAAACAAACGCTGCATTGTTCACAGTCCTATTCAGCGAGGCAAGATATTTCTACGATGTGCCAAACTGGTGAATTAACTAACTTTCTCAACATTAATTCTAGCCGTAAAGTTTCACTGCAGAAGTGTTAAACTGTGTTAAGAAACACATGATTGTGTCGTTGACATCGAGGTGACTTTTGTGCATCTGATGTTTTCAAGCTAAACAAGAAATCGTGCAATATATATATATATATATAATGGTGATTATTTACGATCGAACTCTGATTTTAGGGCCCTTAGTACTATGGGGCCTTTAAAACCTCGAGCGTCTTATTTAAAAGCCCGAATATATTACGCAGATAAATGCTACCTGGATAGAAACGTCTCAATAAATTGTTCTGAAAACCACTCTAGAGCATTCTTATTGGAAGGCTCAAATGAATAAAAAAAACATTTTAATCTGCAATAATTAGTCAGTAGGGCAAATAGTAAAAATATTTTGACCATTTACAATACTGCCTCGGTTTGACAGACGTAGGGCGCACCAGCGTTCCCTAGGTTCTGGCAGACGTTCGTTGTATTCCCATTAAGCTTTCTTCTCTACAAGAGAACTACAAGAACATGCTGCTCAGAACTTGCTTGAATGCGACAAAATATTCCCAGGGTTGCGTAGCAACGCAGCAGCGTTAATTCAAGTGACCGACCTCGCTAAGTCTATGGTACAGCGCCGTGGAAAGTCTGGGACGCAGCCTCCCGAAAGATATGCGGAGCAAAGGCATGGGCGCTCCAGAAAGATAATGAATAATGCTACTGCGGAGATTATCGGAACGCAGAGCAGCTGTGCACGATTCTCTGATTGCCCGACCACTCGCGCCTAGACAGCACTTTTAAATGAATTGAATGGTCACAAACTTGTGATATGAAGTTTAAGTGTAGTGTGGCGACTTTTGCGTTGTTATCCAATTGAGAGCTCCTAAAGTATTCCGACCACCCCAAAAGAAGAAACGCGAGCAATTGCACTATTGTTTCAGTTGGCTCAAATAATCCTCAAAATAATTTTGCGCGAGGGACTTGCAAGTTTATTTGGTTGTATTGCGATCAACTTAAGATAGAGCGCTGGTGACATTGATGTTAATACAATTTCATCGTGTGTTTTCAAAGTGTACGTTAATGCCTAACCATATTTTTAAATCCCAATTTCGAATGGCATTAAAAAAGACAGGTGTCCCGATAGTGTCCAAGGCTGTTTGCCGAATAGAGTTATGCATTAGACCCCGAAAAAACCGCACACTCGTCTCCTTTTTGTTTTGTGTTTTTTTTGGGTTAATAGTTACATGAGAATCAATTTTAACTGGGTCAGATATCTGTTCGGAGGCTTAAGTAGAGGCATTATGTAATATAGACTATGTTCTCAGATATACAACAACTATAAAAAAATTTCGGAAATTTAGAAATGCGAGTTACTTCGCGTATGTTACTAAAAAGTTCCTGAAATGATATCACTACATTGCTCTGTATATTAATAAAAATGCAGCGGTAAAAGACGAGAAGAACACCAATTTATGAGAGTCTATGATGATATCAGTTTTGGATGTTTATTTTTGTTCGCACAAAAACATCGACTGCAGCAGCGCCCCAAATCTCAAGTAAATAATTGAACGAGTATTTGTTTGTCGTGGCATCGGGGGTCAAATACGCCGATTCTTCGGCAACACAACGTCCCCTATTAGGCAGAGTGTGCGGGTTAACTTTAAGACATTTATATCCCCAGCTTTTGAACGGAATGGTACCGAAAAAAGTGCAGCAAAAGTGGAACTGAATAAGCCCCAAACTCAGGACATTGGCTTCTTCTAATTTTTTTCTGTCGGTAGGCAGTCTGTGCACATTCAATTAATACTATAACAAAGTTGCACACAGAAAGCGAAATATTGTTGTAAAATGATTCTTGAAGTGTAGGTATTACGGCAAATATATCTTTTTTATCTTTTTGAAAAATGACATAAAATCTCCTTGTACCCTGGCAATAATATAGAGCTAAATCTAGAAAATAAAAGTTGGTCTTTCGGCCAGCATAAATAAACTACACCCCACAGAAAGTTAAACACGCTTAAAATCAACGAAAAAGACAGGGAACTGTAGAATAATTTAGGATAGAGGACAGACACTGAACTCACAACTCAATATTTCATACAGCAGAAAACAAAACATATGGCATTCACCAATAAAACTTTGGTTGGGGCTAGTAGGTACATATCGATTAAAAAGTTACAAGGCGCGAGCTGAAAAAGGACGGAAAAGGACGCACATACGACACGGACATGTGTTAGTGTCGTACGGGTGTCTTTTTTCGTTCTGTTTTAGTTCGCGCATTTGAACCATTTAATCGACACACATCAAGCACGCACTTACTCATGGCGCAAGAACTCAAGGGTGCTAGGCGAACACTTGAGCTCATCGAAGCGTTTAAAAACGAATCTGGTTAAAAAGCGCTTAAAAACAACTCTCGGTAGTACCACTATCATCAGTCGACATAAGAAAAAAACTCTCCAGAAAAAAACAAAAAACAAAAAAAAAACAGGTGTTTATTATACAAGGTTTGGGGGAGCGCTGTGTAAGCAAGCCTATCTCAAAAAAAGAAGTATCGTTTTTAAACTTTTCGATGGAGCTGAAGTCATCGCCTCGCACCCTTGAGCCTTTGCGCCATGAGCACATACTTGTTTCATATATGTCACGTTCTTTGGTCTTTTCTTCTGAATTAAATATTGAGTGGTGAGCTCAGTGCATATCTCTTGTATTAGCGGCGAGATATTTTGGTGGCGACCCCCTATGGTTCCCTGTCCTTGCGTCATTACATTACGAACAAGTTCAATGGCGTTTGTAATTAGCGTGGCGGAAGCTTGAAATCATTGAGCTCGGAGTTGACATCACCGTCAAAATTGAAGTTCCTAGATTCCTCTTATTCCCGTCCCTGAGACATCCTTTGCGGACGTCATAGTCAGCATTCGTCCAATCGTGGTAGGTCGACCACAGCAATGCTTTCGATCGCGCACGTCGCCAATTGATCCTTTTCATAGCAAACGCTACCAGGTGGTGCTGGAGTCTTTGACGTCCCGGAAAAATTTAGGTTCATAAAAATAATGAACAAACCCTCCTTAACACCGCTGCATGAACTGTCGATGAAACGTTTACCCACCAATTCTCTTGGTGAACGCCGCAAGAACGAAGGAGCGCGAGATCTGTTATAGGCGTTACCATTGCAAATGTATCGCCGTTGATAAAGACGAGTACGAATTGCTCATGCAAAACGGCAAAGCTGCTTATAAATGCTCCAAATACTCCAGACACCGCAGATCTTCGTCGGATGGGCGGCTCGACAATGACAGCCATGACGCGGCCGATGCATCGCGATTGCGTACATCTACAGGAAATGCTGCATCTTAGTCGACGCCACCGGCCGCAGCTGACTTTGTCCGTCTTCGGAATGCCATGTCTGCCAAGTTTGACGTCTTGACTGCGAAGGTGAAGAGCCTCAGGGCTGAGAACAGCTTCATGTGCTGGGAAATGAGCTTGCTCAAGAAGAGAATCCTCGAAATACTGCGTTGGCTTCGAGACCTCGAGGAACGTACGCCGCAGCCGCGGCACCATTTGCGTCCGTGCCGGTAAAGTAGCCCTCGACGTCGGGTGCGGTGAGCTGATCCACTCAGATCACGGATGCAGACTCCGAGTCGCCCACCACCTGGGCGGATAGCGATGCTGCTTCTGCTTCTACACGGGCGACTGGGGAAATACGTGAAGCGCGTCCAGCTGGTCCTTGGGTTGACGAAGACGGCTTCACACCGGTGCAGCGGAAACGTCGAGTGTCAGGTGGGACGGCGAAGTTCGACAAGTTACATGCTGCCCCTCGCAAGCAGGTCACAAAGGCACTTTTTGTGTCTAGGCTGGAACCCCGTACCCCTGTGGCAGACATTGAAAGTACTGTGGCCCCCTTTTTTGCCAACGAATCGGGAATCGTTACCAAATTAAAGGCTAAATTTGATTTGTACTCAGTATTCGACGTTTTGCATAAACCGGAGTTATGGCCAGAAGGCTCTATCTTTCATCAGTTTTTAGGCAGGCTGGACAGCTCTCCAGTCTTTGTGGATGACCCTTTAGCAGCTAAAAATGTTTAAGACACTCGAAGTGTACTACCAGAATACGCGTGGTTTGCGTTTTAAGTCGTTTCGAATATTCCGTCAAGTTGCTTTAATCTAGTCAGTTTAACGGAGACTTGGTTATGCGCTGGCATCTCTGATAATAGTTATTTTCCCTGAGGTTATTTTGTGTATCGTCAGGATAGAGACTACGATAAAACGGGCATAAAATTTGGGACTCGTGTGCTTATTGCGGTGAAGTGTGTAGTTCAATCCCACCGAAAGGGTGGATTTGAAATCTTATGCGGAGTGTGTTTGTGTTGAAATTCCAGGGAGTGATTGTTACAACTATTTAGTTGGCAATTACTATTTCCCTCCTTTGTATGATGACGCAGCGCTCATTGAACACTTGGAGTCACTTCAGAAAACGATAGAATTTACTGAGTTTCGTGTCCAGATATATGGCGACTTTAATTTGCCAGCGATTGATTGGACAGCGGGTA